AAGTGAAGACGTTGCACCTTCAACAAACGATCCTCAGCTAATTTCGTCAGCAACAAAGAAATGAAATTTATGAGTTATGTTGTGAAAATAACTTTTGATAATAATTAAATCCTGATAAAATCCATACTTAGTAAAGCTTACGATACATCAAATTCGTAACGTGTGCAAAAATGTCTGACCCCAGGTCACTTATGGTCAGGTCACCAGGCAAAGTGAAGTGACCATGTATCTAAGAACTTTGTGATTCAGTCATTCCTACATTATACATTCCAGTAGCTTGAAACTCAGGGTAGGTATTACATGGGGGAATCAGTACCAACAATTTGTTTCTCTCAGAATTTGGATGTCGGTGACCTAAGGTCAGGTCAATTTTGTGACCTCTCCATTATACTTAAATCAAAGGGAACAAATTGAAATGCTTTTCTTTTGGCTTAAAACACCCTCAAACATCAAGAAACACAGGTGATCATGACACACTGAACCGAAAAATGCTTCTATGACCCGTTTATGATGATGATGATGATGAATTGGGGTTTTTGGGCGGCCGGACTACAGTGGTCATCGGCGCCCACCGTTTATGCTCCTGAGGTCATTTCAGGTCATGAAACGTCTCCAACATTTTTTGACAATGCATAACTTTAGATAGAAATATGCTAGAGAGCTGAAATGACCATTAATGTGTTCAGCTCAGCAATACAAATCGAATGACATCCAACATGACCTTTTCTGTGACCTTGACCCGAGGTCAAATTCTTAACCCTCGCGCTTATAGGGGGGGTCGACCGGACCCCCCTCCCCTCCGTTTTTCGCGAATACCTAACTCCCGTAAAAAGTCGCCGATCGCGACAAAACTTTCAGTACCCTCGAGGTAAGTAATTTTAAATCTACCCTAAAAATCATGACCCTGACCAAATTGACCTTTGACCTGTAACCTATTCCTCGAGACCATGTTTGGCCGGAATCGCGATTCTGCGTATGTCAGCTAGCATCTGCGCGATTGCAGTGTTTTTGTAGTTTCAAACATTTAAACATGTGAAATGATATTAGTCCCATGCATTATTATGGGTGTCATGGTCGCCTGAAGGTCAGGTCAGGTTATTGACCTTTGATGACCTCGGTTCACTTTTTCGAGTTTTACATGTTTCTAGGCTAGTTTTTGGAGCTGATTTCGAATTAAGCAGTTCTTTCAACAGCTTTGATGTAGTTTAGGTGCCTTCGTAACATGTTACGAAGCTGTCAGTGGCGGTTGACACCTACAATGAATACCCGGCTGGACCCCTGCTGGGTGACCTTCACCTGACCTGACCTGACCTGGCCTAAATGCATGAAGACATCATCTGTGATCAAAACTAACATGATATTCGTGATCAGCACCGCGAAAAACCTCACAGCAACCACACTTTACGACGTTCTAACAGGTCCCGATTTCCCAGAATTTTGGGTCATTGACCTGTTCTGATCGGGCTGTCCAAGTTGAGACACAAGCTGCCATACGAGACTAAGAAGCTGCTGGTTGAGGCGCTCGTTTTCCCGCACATCAATTACTGCTGCACTGTGTGGGGAGGATGTACTGCCTCCCAAAAGCACCGTATCCAGAAGGCGATCAACTTCGCGGCACGCGTCGTCACAGGACTGGCCCGACGGCAGCACGTCACTCCTGCTCTGCAGGCGCTTGGATGGCAGCGTTTCGAGGGCATGCTTGAGAAACGGGATGTGGCTCTTATACAAAGGCTGGTCTCGCTTGACGCGCCGCCTGCACTGGCCCAAGTTGTACAGCGTCGCTCGGACGTGTCACAGAGACACACCCGATGCTCCCACGGACATCAGTTGGAGCTACCTAAAATTAAGAGTGAGCGAGCGAGGCGCTGTTTCCCTTACAGATCTGTGTCCACGTGGAACAGCGTTGGCGGGGTCGGCAGCGGATGAAAAACCATGTATTTTAGATGTCTTTTATTTCTTTTGGTGTTTAGTGTTTCGCTTTTGCGTTGATTTTAGCCTTTTATGTACGTACTGCGTAATGATTCACGTGTTTGTCAGCGAATTTTAATACTTGTATGTACACGACGAGAGGGCTGAAAAACCATTAGTAAATGGAGACCTCAATACACTGGATTTGGATTTGGATTTGGATCTGACCTGGCAGGTCAACCGATGAGCTAGGACCTTAAAATTGGGTATCATCGGCTTGCTCTCGTCACGGGCAACACGCTCTTGTTTATGCGAAGCTCTAGCTCAATCAGTGGCCAAACGGCGAGGGTTTAATTGACTTTTTTCCGGTCAATTTTATCTGACCTTGACCACGTTGCCTCAAATTCGGAATTTTAGGGCATACTTCTGATGCGCCTCGGTGAACCTTTTCCAACGCCATCTTGCACGTGTCGCTGCGATGCTTAGCTTCGGAAATATAAACATATCGTTCCGCACGTATGCGTAGCACGAAGTGTAATAGCAAAAGGTTTCCACGTGCCAAGCATGTGGACCGTGCATCTCAGCACACCTATTCGTACAACGCCTTCAAGCGTTTGTCCATGTTGTGCCGTTGTGCAGAGTTTTAGGTGCTTAGGTCAAAGTTTTCGAGCATCGGAGAATGCCTCATCAAAACATGTTTTTCGCCCCGAGCATGTGCAATATGTACCTATCTTTCGGTGCCGATTATTCCATATGTCAGTGGCTTGGTACCGGGACATGTGACCTACAAATTTGGCACCTGGACCTCCCTTGGATTGGCTTAAAGCGTCGATAAAAGGTTTTTGTTCTCAATGTGTTTTGTCGGCAAGTCACACGCGCCACGTGACAGAGAGTGACTCGGGACCTAAACCATCACCTGCCTCCAGAAATGGCACGTCAAACGGCACCACCATCATCTCGATCCGATCATCCATTTAAAAATAATTACAAATTTATTTGCTTTACAACGTTTCACAGCACAGATTTTTGGCGCCGCTTTGTCGGCGCCACTATCTTCCATGGGAGGTCCCTTCGAATTGCCAGTCCGGTTTATTTGTACGTCTATGAATTTGTACCAAATTATCTGATTTAGTAGTATCGTAAAACATTTCTTTTTCTTTTTATATCATCTGTTCCCAATTGAAAACAAGTCCATGGTGCCTTACTTTACATTTCCAACAATTATTTTCACAACATCAGATACTTGGCAATGGATTGCCCTCCCTTCAAATTTAGTTTCAACTAGGCCTGTCTAGTGGGATACTAGAAAAAATATTCCAAGCACCAGTGACGTCACAATTTGTCCAACCTTATGTTCTAGTAATCTTGGTCGTGCCGAGCCGGTTGGGTTTATAGTCGTTGGCGGTAGTATTGCGGCACAGTCTGCCTCCTAGGGGCTCATCAAGACACTGCGCAATGCAACACGACGAAGCTGCTAGAATCTGCTCGAGCCAAACTGATAGTCACATCTCCAGTCCGCAAACACTATCGACAATTTGTTTGCAGATATCGGAAGGTTAGGAGATGTGAGGATTTGAGACTGAGTTGAGTTATTTCATTGACTGCTAAAAAATTGTGGTTGAAATATGTCGATTATTTTTTTACTAGAATAAAAAGTTAACGTTTTTTCCCATACAATGTCCTTTCGCTATTCACTAATTTGTTTTACTGCCTCGAACTGTAAAACTTTTGTCAATCATTTTTTCCTCTTAAAAAAAGGAGCCGGAGTCGCCCCCTTTTTTGACGGCTCCGGCTCCGGCACCGGCTCCGGGCTATATTGTTTTACGGCTCTGGCTCCGGCTCCGGCTCCGGGCAAAATATGCCGGCTCCAGCGGCTCCGGCTCCGCACCGCTGATTTTAACTGTTCCCTAAAGATTTTTAAACGAATCCCGTCATATCTTTTTTCTAAATGACGTTACAGTGATTTATGTCAGGGGTGTAGTTTTATATCTCTTTGTGGGGGGCAGATGCACCCACAATCCTGGATCATATTATTATATAATATAAAATTATATTATAATATGCCACGGCGCCCTTCGCGTGCTCTAACGGCGTCCTCCTGACCGTCTCGCGCCCTGCATCCCTCGACTGTTCGGCGCCCTTCTGGCCTCTCAGCGCCCCTAAACCACAAAGCGTTTTCAATCACTCGGCGCCCTTCTAGGGGAATGGCGCCCTTTTCATGGTCTCACGCCGCCCTCGCAGCCGTCTGACGCCCCTACGTTTGGCGCCACTCCTACTGGGTGGCGCCCCTCTCCAGTCCGGCCATGAATAACTATCAGCTATGAAATCAGGAGGTCAAATTATGTCATGTGATATGCTTCTTACTAGCACTTGGGGTTCGCAACGAAAGTAAAGGCTGCCGGTCCTAAAGTAAATAAATACCGTGATCTGACTGGGGGGGGGGGCAGGCCGGTGACTGCGGGGGTTTGCCCCCCCCCCCAGAGACGAGGCCCTGATCTGGGCGGCTGCGCGGAAGGGGGGGGGGGTCACGGCCCCCTGTGGCCCACCCTGTCTACCCCACTAGAGCGGGGAGCTCCCGGTGCCGCAGCCGACTCTGGGACGGACCAGTTAACATGTTAGACGAGGCCCTGATCTGGGCGGCTGCGTGGAAGGGGGGGTCACGGCCCCCTGGCCCCTGTGCAGTGGCCCACCCTGTCTACCCCACTAGAGCGGGGAGCTCCCGGTGCCGCAGCCGACTCTGGGACGAGGCGCGCGCGGCTTCCATCAAGACAGCCCTGACATCTAGTGCGAGGCCGTGGAACTAACTACTGCCAGCGAGAGCAACGAGCCCCGACGTGAGGCTCTGGCCCATCTCTGGCCATTCACGTAAATAAAATTTTTAGAGCATCAGCAGTAATCTGCTGAAAAAGGCAACCTAGTGACAGATTGAGGTAGTCTAGTCTTGATCTACCACCTAGCGAGAGCCGAGAGAACACCCAACAAAAATGTGATCTTAAATCGAGTGAAAAAAAAACTTCATATGGAGGCCCGCGATGTGGCAGTCATTGCGCCGCAGAGCCAAATGTGAAGTACGTTGGTTGTTTATAAACATTTTGGGTGGTGGCAAGGCTGTATGGTGGTGGTCGGTGGTGGAATTCTCAGGGGTGCGGTGTTGTTATTCTTTTTTTTTCTGTTAAATTTAGCATGTATCATTCATCCATCATTTAGCATTTATTTCATTTGTCATCAGCTATCAAGTCTCGATTCTTGACCAATTGGCTGATAGTCTTTTCGCCACCTTGACCTGCTCATGTTGATGTTCGTTGTTGTTGTTGAAGAGTTAGGGCGCGCCTGCTCATGTTCGTTGTACTGACCAGTGACCAGTGTCTATGTCAAGCATCAACAGCTGCCTCAGGCTTATTCTGAAAGCTATTTTTTATCAAAGGAAATAGTTCACTTTTAAAATAGGGTTTGAACTGGAATAGCAGTTCCATTGCTTGAGCTGAGACAAGCACAAATAAGGAGCTTTTACGGCCCAATGATCACCCTAGGCAATGATATTCCATTGCTTGTCCCGTAAAAAGGTGCCTTGCTGAGGAATGTGTGCCTTGCAGGGGTCATTTTCCTCTTTTAAAACTGAATTGAAATATAGAAAACAATCATTTTTATAAAAAGGTTTTATTTTCCTTGCTGATCATTTTCAGCATAAAAAATCATAAATCCATTGCAAAAAAAAACTAATTTCGTGAAGGTGAACTTTTCAGGGCCTCCTCTAACATACCCACTGGGTGGGCAAATGCCCACCCAGTCACCACAATTGCCCACCCAGTGGCGTCGATTTGCCCACCCAGAAGCAAATGCAAAAATTCTGGTCCGGCCGGACGTCCGGTACTACCTTTCTGGTCTTAAGCAAACTGGATGCTGTTTGAAGGCCAAAAAAAGTTTTCTGGTTGCCCGATATTCAGGGGCGTAGCCAGGATTTCCTCAAGGAGGGGGCCAAACGCACAGGGGCCCAAGATAACCCCCTCAAAATCCAAAAAGCCATCTGGTTGCATCCAATATTTTTTGGAGGGGGCCCAAATAAATAGGGAAAAAATATTTATTAACAAAAATATTAGAACTTAGGGGGTAAGCAGTCCATGGGCCCTGTTAGATAGGCCCACGAATAGCTTCATAGAGTCGCCAGTCGGTTTTGAGGGCGGTCTGAGGGCCCGTAGGTCGGATGAGGGTTCTTCAGACCGTCAGAGGCCCCTACAGCGCATGAGAGCCTCGTAAGCCGTCTGAGGGTCATATAAGCCGCCTAAGGGCCACTAAGACCGACAAAAGCCCTCCTTGCACTTGCAGAGGCCCAGTCATGCCGACGGAGGGCTCTCTTAGACAAACTAAGGACCCGTTCAGGGCATTTGAGGGCTTTCTCAAACCGATAGGGCCCCCTCAAATCGACAGTGGATCCGATCCGAGCTCCCTCAAACCGATATAGGGTCAGACCAACAGTCGGAACGCATTGATTCTGTTTACACACCGTTGGACCCAAGTTGATCCCATCCCATCCAACTGGCCCCCTGGTTTCAATAGGGCCCCAAGGCTCTAAAATTGGGGCTCTCTTGGCCAAAGTATAACTACTCAGCTGTGTCAAAGGATCTGCCGCAGGGGCCTTTGCGTCGCCAAGGGCCCACTGTGTCAGCCAGGGGCCCCTATAGAATAAGGACCCCTGGCTTCCAGGGGGGGGGGGCATGGTCCCTTTGGCCCCCTCATTGGCTATGCCACTGCAGGTGACAAACGTTCTTCCAGGCGACCAGGGGGCAGGGGCCAGGCGACCAGGCCCCCAGGCGACCAGGGGCCCCCAGGCGACTAGCCCTCAAGCGACCGGGGCCCCCTAGGCGACCAGGGGCCCCAGAAAACCGGGGGTCATCGGATGAGTGCAGGGGCCCATTGGGTCATCAGAAGGCCAGAGAAATGAAACTTCGATATCAATTTTCTTCCGAGTAAAAGACGTTTTATCCAGTGTTTGAAAAATATCCCGGGGCTTGAGGGGCTCTCCCATGGCGCGTTTTGCGCTCAAGGGAGGGGGCCATTGCCCCCGTGGCCCCTCCCCCTTGGCTACGCCCCTGCCGATATTGTTATTCATGGACAAAGCCAGCTAAATCTCTAAATACGGCTGAGCTGAACAAATAAGCAAGAATCATTACCGGTTCGGGTAGCCTTTACTACAATGTATTATGTTAGTTAGCCCTCGCCCGATGAGGGGGGTTGATGCACCCCCCTAAGGCTTTTCACAAATAACGTAAAAACGGCGGCGCTCAAATTTCGCATACCCTCTGGGGCAACCTTTTGGCACTTGTCCTGAAAATTTCAGGTCTCTAGTCTTTTCAGGTCAGGTCACCAGGTCACAAACCCGGTACAAGGTCAGGGGAAAATTGGACTAACAGTTTAGCGGCAACCGAATGCCAGAGTTTTTCGTTGATAGCGTGAGTTCTATAGCACGTAGCGCTACCAAATTTAAGACACGACTTGGAGCATCTGTTTGTCACTTGGCCTTGGAGTTTTAGGTTCCAGTGACCCGAGGTCAGGTCACAAGGTCACAAAAACTGGTGCATTGTCAAAATAGCAAGAATACCGAATAAGAATACCTACCTACCACGCAGTTTGCAGAGGGCTGTACATGTAACTCTGGAACGAATCGCTCGAGCATTGCTAACAAGGGCGCACACAAGGGGGGGCACACGGGCCCGTGCCCCCCCATTCGAGTTGGGGGGCCCAACTCGAAGGAAGGGGCCATTTGAGGCGGCCTTCGGCCGCCTCAAATGGGCCTCTAACTAATCCTTAGACCACCGAAGACCGTGTACAACGGGCCCTCAAATGGCCTTAAAGGGCCCTCAGATGGTTTCAAAAGGCCCTCAGATGGCCTCGAAGGGCCCTCAGTTAGCGTCATAGGGCCCTCATCTGGTGTCAAAGGGCCCTTAGATGGTGTCAAAGGGCCCTCAGATGGTGTCAAAGGGCCCTCAGATGGCCTTAAGGAGCCCTCAGATGACCTCAAAGGACTCAGATGGCCTTAAAGGGCCCTCAGATAGCCTCAAAGGGCCCTCAACTAACGTCAAACGGACGTCAGAAGGCCTTAAAGGGTGTCAAAGGTCCCTGAGCTGGCGTCAGAGGGCCATGCCCTTGCGTCAAATGGCTCTCCGAAGGCTCTAAAGGGTCCTTAGCTGGTGACAGAGGGCCCCCAGCTGGCGCCAAATGGCCATCAGTAGGCCTCAAACGGTCTTCAGTTGGCGTCAAGCGGCCCTCAAAAAGCCTTAAGGGGCCCTTAGAAGACCTCAAGGGGCCCTCAGAAGGCCTTAAAGAGCGTCAAAGGGCCTTGAGCTAGCGTCAGAGGCCCCCCCCCCAGCTAATGTCAGAGGGCCCTGAGCTAGCGTCAAACTTAAAGTGCCCTTAGCTGGTGTCAGAGGGCCCCAGTTGGTGTCAGAGGGTCATCCATTGGCGTCTAATGGCCATCAGAAGGCCCAAAAACGATCCTCAGCTGGCGTCCAACGGTCCTCAGCTGACGTCAAGAGACCCTCAAAAGGCCTCAAAGGCCCCTCGACTGCTCAAAGGGCATTTAGAAGGCCTCAATGGGAACTCAAGAGACGTTAAACGGCCCTCAAAAGGCTTGAAAGGGCCCTCTGCTGATGGCAAAGGGCTCGCACCTGAGTCAATAAGAGCCTTGTCAAAAAACGGACCTGAGAAACCTTGTCGGCCCTGGTTATCTGCGGGACTCCTACATTTACCTGAGTGGCCCCCGTTTACTGAGGGGCCCTGGTTATTGATGGGGTCCCTGGTTACTTAAGGGGCGCCTGGTTACCAGAGGGGCCATGGTCACCTGGTGGGCCCCTGATCAATTGAAAACCCCTGGTCATCTGAAACGCCCCTGATTACCTAAAGGGTCCCATCACTTGGATTCAGTGACATAGCAAGGGAGCGAGGGGGTACGTGCCCGTTCTCGGGTTTAAGGTTCCTTCGAAACCGAGGGGCCCTGCGGCGCCAGTTGGTAGCAGAGGGTTAGCGCTGGCCGCACTTCAACTCGGAAGGACACCACAGGGCTTGTGGGGGGACGTTATTGGCTCCTATGTAGCCACAATTATCTTCATAAAGGCCCAATGCCGGTTTCTGAGAGACCTCGCCGGCCGCTCAGGGCCCTAAGCAGTAACGGCCAACGAGGGATTGGCTGCTATGGCTCCACATCCGTCTGTGATTGACACACGGTCCACACCAGTGTTTCTAAAGGCACCCACAATGGCAACTGCGAGGCCCCTCGCCCCACCTCCAAGGGACCCCCACTAGCGCATCTTAAGGGCCTACACCGACGCCTCTGAGGGCCGCGTACCAGTGACTCTGAGGGCCTCTTACCAGCCTCCGAGTGTCCTTGCCAGCCTATGACGGGCCACTTTCCACTTGCAGGCCATTTTGCAGGGCCACACACATGCCAATGATGGCCCCACCAGTGTCTCTAAGCCCTAAGACCCCGCAACGGCGCCTGTGAGGACCCAACACCAGCGCATCTGACGGCCTTTCAGTGGCACCTCTGAACGCGCCACACACCGGTGACTCTGAGGAGCTGTTGTTGTTGTTGTTGTCGGTCCCCGCAGCCGCGGCGAAGCCGCGGTGTAGCCTAGTGGCTCTGGAGGGCCCTGAAGGCGGCCACCAGGGCCGCCACTGCATCGCTGCGCCGAACCTCCTCTGGGGTCGGCAGTATGTTGCCGATGGCCTGGGTCCGGAGGCGGACCCCCATCATCCCCGGGCATGTCATGAGGATGTGTCTCGGTGACTCTGAGGAGCTCGCTCGCTTCGCTCGCTCGTAAAATACCATGTAAATTAGGCATTAGTGTACATTAGGCACACTCCTCGGGCATAAATGATACTTTTGCTTGCCAATTTTCCACATTTTCTCATGCAAAGACCGTTTTAAAGAGACCCGTCTGCCAGTGAGACTGGACCCACCGTGCCTCCCTCCTCCCATCGAAAGGTCCTGGGTACATCCTTGCCTGAGCTGACCCCGGGCGCCCGGGTGACTCGCGGGCCCGGGGTCAGGTGACCAGCAGGTGACCCCCTCTTGGGCGAAATTCTGGGTACGTGTCCGATATGCATCGTACATAGTCCTGTTGATTTGATTCATCGGTTAAGCATTAAATATAAGTTATAGGCTGGATCTCTAGTCTGTGATCCCGCATCGTATCAGATATAATGACATTTCATGTCGATGTGCCTAAAAAAATATGCGAATATACGTGAAAAAGGAGTGCTGCTCCCGCTCCTACACATCCGGGCCAAACAGTGACCGGCCCCTGCTTCTAGCCACCCGGGGCCGGTCGGCCGGCCGGCAGTCAGTCGCTGCCCGGGGCTGATTTCTGAGGGACCTGCAAAAATGTTTATTAATGAAATGGTTTACGTAATAAATTAGATGATTAGGTATATGTACCGGCTCAGAGTCGCATTTGAGAGAAAAAAAAAACAGCCCAGCGTAAACATATATATGTTTTGAAAATTAAGCTGGTACCGAAATAATTGTTTTACCATGCATTGACAAACCAATTGCTCAAGCTTCAAACCAACCGAAATATAGCCCCGTGGGCCGTATTTTTTTTGGGGGGGGGGGGCCTTCGGCATGGGGGGCCCAGTTCGAAGGTCGTGCCCCCCCCTTTCAAAAATCCTGTGTGCGCGCCTGATTGCTAACCATAAAACATACGACAAACGTTAACTTTGCAAACTATCATCTTATTTCCAATAACGGCACTGCTTATTTCGCCTCACCCCCGCCCCCCCCCCCCGGTAACAGGTTATGAAATTGGTTGAACCCCAAAACAGTGGCTGGATCCACCCTTGGGCAGGGGAGTAGCGAAAATTTTGCCCACCCAGTGAAAAATCCTTAGAGGAGGCCCTGGACTTTTCCCTGTAAAATGTATTTTTCCAGTATCATGTCAGTATGACATTGCCTTCTGAAAAATACTTTTATTAATTGATATAGATTATTGTTACAGAGTAGTCAAAGACATACTTATTAAAGTTTGTTTATTAAGTCCACAGAAGAAGCAATGAATTCAGTTGCAAAAGTACATATATACCTTATTCGGTCTGGTACTTTTTAAGTGGGGAAGTCTGCGGAATGGTAGGTACAGGTTGACACACATCAGGATCAGCGTGGATCTATAGCAGCACCTGACAGACTGTCCGTTTCTGTAACGGTTGAGTCAGCTCGAGGCCGACTATCGGAGCAGGTCGCACTAGGATTCAGGGTATATAGAACAACCTAGGATCTGCACCGTATTCTCCGCCACTCGACAGTGGTCTGCCCCGTGTAAACGGCACCGAGCGCTGCGGGTATGGAAGGATCGAACTTCCTTACGAAAGTGCTTCGATTGTTTTTAGGTCACTTGAACAAGGCCATGTCAGAACAGATCATCGAAGGTAAACTTTTCCGAAGCCATCGAACTCCGGCACTATGATGCGGTCGATGGCCTCCCTGGTCGTCGGCTGGTACTCGTCGCAGAGCCGATGGGCTGCTCCCCGGCACTGATGGGACTGACGGGAGGCAGGGGTGCAGGCTGCTGCCCGGCGTTGAGGGATGCAGGCTGCTCCCCGGTGCTGACCGGACTGACGGGAGGCAGGCTGCTCCTCGGCGTTGATGGGACTGAGGGATGCAGGCTGCTCCCCGGCGCCCGGCACCAAGGGGACTGAGGGATGTAAAGTACCAACGACGTGACGTGACCAAATGCCTACCACCGCTTGCATACCATTGCTTATGGACCTTAGCGTGGGCCGGGAATGTCGATTATTGGTAATCAAATTTTGATGTATCGCAAAACGGAGCATATCATGTCGTGACTCTCCAACACACCCCTAGCAACGGAAGTGCAGCGCATAAATCATGAAGGGGAGTGGCAAAGACAACAGCACGTTACTATGAGCAGAGCCGGGGCCATCTAGCAGCAATGGTGGCTGGGAGGGGTGTTTATTTAATGAGGAGGCGCCCGGAGAGGGCGAGCAGCGTCGTTGATACGCAGCCGGCAGCTCCATCTGTCATTGTATGTGGATCGGCCGTATTAGATTTGCTGGCAATGGATATGAATATCGACCTGTGTCGTAGATGACATTTGCTCAGTCTTTTACGGTTACTTGTTATTCGACCCTAAATTACGACCGCATGTGAGGTTGATGTGAAAGCTGATCACTTTGGCGCGGTAATATGCTGTCTGCTCTCGGCTCGAAAGTGGCAGCTCTTCGAATCAAAGTGGCAGCTCTACGAGCCAGTTAGGTCGGTCACCTTCGGCCTTGGCTGTAGTGTAGACGCACAGGCGTGGTCAGAAACTGTTTCACAAATCACATATCGTCGTAGCACGCCACATCCCTCGTAGGTTGTAGGTGAGGTTAATTCAGCCCAGTTTTCGGACCGTCGCCGTACCATTTCGCGCGGCGAGCCGCGTCCTGCCCCGGCCGCGGTCCCCGTGTTGTGTTTTGGTGGCAGCCGCCGCCACCGGGCCCCTGACGCCGCGCCTGGATTCCAGACGCGCTGCCGAGGGGGGCTCGTCTCGTCTGTATCTCTATGGGCGCGGCGGCCCGGCCCAGTCCGACTCGCCGAGCAGCGGCCTCCCGACGGACGTGTGCCGCAGTGACCGGTCCGCCGCCGCCGCACTCAGCAGTCAGCACTTCGACCACTGAGGTATGGACGATGTGGATATAGGTATTATAGGTGAACAGCTGTGTTGAGGTTAAGTTAAACATGAATGTGTAACATCCCCATGTAACGTGTAAACATGCCCATGAATGTCCACTTTACTTGTTATTAGGCATGGCCCTCTCGTACTTTGTAGCATTGAGTTCATTTACGAAGGATTGTGAGGGGACTGGGCGTTTTAGTTGATGTGAAGACGACATACGATTATTTGTTCGAGCTACTTGGGTAAACTTCATGACAGTGTTTAGCAGCCTTCCTGAACTGACTGATATCTGTCAATCGTCAATATAGTTACTGACCCAAAAAAGTTTATCTCCTGTTTATTTAGCATCTCTCGCTGAATCGCTCTGTCAATCACTTATTCGCTCACTCTCTCCCAGACTCGCACTCACCCGTTGATGTTTCACCCGCAGCCCCGACCGACCGTCTGACGACCTGCGAGGTCCAGTCCACCACTCGGTTTTTGTCTCCGCCGTCCCGCCATGGCCTCTGAGGAGAACCTGGGCGTGGTGCTGCACGCCAAGAACGACGTGCGCGTCGAGCCGCTGCCGATGCCCACGGCCGGCCCCGGAGAGGTGGTCGTCCGCATGGACTCGGTCGGCATCTGCGGCTCCGACGTCAGCTACGTCTACAAGGGCCAGATCGGTCACTTTGTGGTGCGCGCGCCCATGGTGCTGGGCCACGAGTCGAGCGGCGTGGTGCACGCGCTGGGCGAGGGCGTCACCGAGCTGAGCGTGGGCGACCGGGTGGCCATCGAGCCGGGCGTGCCGTGCCGCCGCTGCGAGCAGTGCAAGCGCGGCACCTACAACCTGTGCCCGGACGTGGTGTTTTGCGCCACGCCGCCGGTGCACGGCAACCTGTGCCGCTACTACCGGCACGCGGCCGACTTCTGCCACCGGCTGCCCGACTCTGTGTCGCTGGAGGAGGGCGCGCTCATGGAGCCGCTCTCGGTGGGCGTGCACGCGTGCCGGCGCGCCGGCGTCACGGCCGGCCACCGGGTGCTGGTCTGCGGCGCCGGACCGATCGGCCTGGTCAGCCTGCTGGCGGCGCGCGCGCTCGGCGCCGTCGAGGTGGTGGTGACGGACGTGACGGCCGGCCGGCTGGAGCTGGCCGCCCAGCTGGGCGCCCAGCACACGCTGCTGGTCGACTCGCGCGACGCGCCGGCGCTGGCCGAGCGCGTGGCGGCGCTGCTGGGCGGCCACCAGCCGGACGTCACCATCGAGTGCAGCGGCGCCGAGCCCAGCATCCAGCTGGCCATCCACGCCACGGCCTCGGGCGGCGCCGTCGTGCTGGTCGGCATGGGCCCGGCCGTCGTCTCAGTGCCCATCATCCACGCGGCCTCGCGCGAGGTGGATATCCGCGGCATCTTCCGGTACGCCAACTGCTACCCGACGGCGATCGAGCTGGTGCGCCGCGGCCTGGTGGACGTCAAGCCGCTAATCACCCACCGGTTCCCGCTGGAGCGCTCCGTGGAGGCGTTCGAGACGGCGCGTACCGGCGCCGGCGGAGCTGTCAAGGTGATGATCAAGTGCCAGCCCGAGGAGTAGCGGCGCCGGTCACCAGGGGCTGATCGCCGCGTCCGGCCGCCGTGACGGGCGGGGCGGGGCCGGGGTGCCGCCACTGTGTGCCTGTTTTTGCCGGGAGTCGGGCGGAGTCTGGTCGGTAGTGGTCAGTAGCCGGGCTAAAAAAACGGTTTTTATTTCTTTTATTAGATGTTATGTTATGGAAAATACTCAAGATAGCTAGGCCTACACTAGGTTTAACACCTGCATGTATTCTTTATATGATTGTATGAAGTGATGATGTATGTATCATGTGTCCAAGGGACCTTCATTGCCAGAATCTCTCGCTCCAAGCATACCCAGGTTCATACACAGCACAGCTTCTGAAGTAATGCCCCTTGTACAAAAACGTCGCAGGTTGTGGGGTCGTAGTGTGATTGGACCTCCCCACTCTACTGCCACAGCTCATGAGCTCGGAGTTGGGGTGGGCCTTGGCTGTCGAGCCACCAGAGTCCCTCTGCAGTCTGTCGGGCCAGTGCTGACATGTTCAAATAAACTGTGGGCTTCGGAGGTGCAAACCAGTGCAATACATACATGCCTGGACCCTAGCAATGCCCTCACTGTGGTGATGATAACTGCGATTATCTCGCACAAAACTATTTGTAATCTGATCTTTGAGGTCAGTGAGTGAAACGTTAAATTCGGAAATATAGTTACCCAAAGAGGCTAATTTCGAAGTGGGTTGTTCGATCATTTCCTCGCCTTCCTCTGTCGCCACAGCCTAGTGGTGCCATCTAGCTGGGCTGACAGCCGCCCTGCATTGGCTGGACGGTGAAGGGTGAGGCCAGAGGGCGCTGCGGTAGCGAACAATGGCAATGAACTGAAGGATGGATCTCAAGATCACAATTTTGTTACGTAAATAGGACTGAGGACAGCCTCCCGATAATGCGGGGTCTGGTGACGCATACACGCTCGATGTAACGCAGACCTTGCTGGCTAAGGCAGGGGTCCTTACGCCGCTCTCGCTCTCCTAATCAGCCCCGGAAGAGCTGAAGCGCGCCAGAGTCTCGGAAGCCTGTGTTTTGATCCGCGTTTGTATGCCAATCTTTTTGTGGAGATTAAACCAGCGTCGTGCAGGGTGCGTACGTGCGTGCGTGCGTGTGTGCGTTTGTGTTCGGACCCCCCCCCCCCAGGATGTGACGTTTCATAGATATCTCAGCGGCCAGCGCCGCCGTTTTTCGCACACCTGTTCATGCATCTTTTCGGCATATGTGAGAATTTCAGACCCAGGTCGCTTAAGATAAGGTCACTTCAAGTGACCTCATCCCAGAAAATCTTAGAATGCTCGCTATAGCTACACCGACTCAATGATCGCTTTGAAACTTTCAGAGGTTGATAAGAGTAACATTATGTGTAAATGTATATATCGGGATTCTGATATCGGTGACCTAAGAACATTCTAAACACTCTCAAACATCGGGTTACATGGAAAGTTGACACACTGAACCGAAAAATTGCACCCGTGACCCATCCTTATGTCCTAGCAGACATCTCGAGTCAAGTCATGTAAGGATCCCACTAGTTTTTAGGCCACTTTTGATAGAAACATGCTTGAGCGATGAAAACATCTTAGATGTGTTAAGCTCGACGATACGGATCGTCTGATATGCAACACGACCTTTTCCGGTCAGATCAGGTCCCCTTGACCTGAGGTCAAATTTTCGAAATGACCTTTTAAGGTCGTCAACTAATAGTTAATTCGACTCGTCTCAACGAGAGGAACACGATCCTAGCAAAAGTAATGTCTTGACTCTCTCGATTCAAAAGTTATTGAAGAAATAGGTGCATTTTTTGTAAAACGGCTATTTTTAGTTTTTACCCTCTGGCTAGTGGCTAGAGGCTAAACCGTTGACCTGAGAGGTCAAATCTGAGTGTAATGCGCAAAAAGAGCATTCAAAAAGTGCTATCGAATGCGCTTTTCCCCGGCGCTGTTGCTCTATTGGTTCCCGAGTTATGTGCCGGACAAGGTGTTAGGTTTTCGAAAAACGTTGAAAGAAAAAGCGCATTGCCCGTGACGAGACTAGGAAGCCGATGATAGGTAAGGTACCCAATTTTAAGTTAAGGCCTTAGGCCATTGGCTGACTCAGGTCCTAGATTAATGGCCCGAAAGTCGGAAAAGTCGGGGCCTGCTATAACATCGTAAAGTGACGGGTGGTTATGGGGTTTCGGGGCCGGATCCTGATTACGAATTTCGCGTTAGCTTTGATCAAAGATGATGTGGTCATGCATATGCAATATGCATTTGGGGTAGGTCGGGTCAGGCCAACCAGTGGTAGGCGGCCTGCCGGCTATCCATAGTAGGGGTCAACCACCAACTGACATGAGCTTCGTAACAAGTTACGTAGGTATCAAAACAACATCATTTAACATGTTGGAACCGGGAAAAGTTTATGCTTATGATGACTTCTGATGACCTGACGGTTGATCTGACATAACTTGACTTTCGAAATTTTAAGCAACTTTTAACTGCCTTTCGAACACCCTTGCTGCATTGGGCTGCGCGGTGCCAGAGGATGGGTGTTTTTACGCCCTCCCCCCTTACGTTTCGATAAGTTACGATTGGACCACCGCCAAACTAAACTATTGGACGCGTTGCGACAAAAGCAGAATCGGGGCTGGTTACGGAGCGAGCGAAGCGAGCGGAGTCTTTCGTAGATTAACGGAAATTTCTGAGTCGTGCGGACGCTTTTGCGAGGCTTATATATTCTCAGCAACCACTCGACCGATTTACATTACATGCGGTAATTTTTGTAGGGTAGCTTCATTCCTTCTACCAAGTATTGGACTATTCCCGAATCCCGATGCATGTGGGTGACCCCTTATATATCTCGGTAACTACTTGGCCGATTGCGCTGAAAGTTGGCATGTAGGTAGTCACCCACTAGGCAATGCATATCCATGTGCCAGAGTTGGGGTGCTGCTGCACGTGCGTACGTGGAGGGGTCGTTTCCAGATCTCGAGAGCGGCTGGACCGATGGCGCTCAAATGTGGTACACGGTTAGGGACCGGTTAGTATAGGGTGCCGTGCATAAATCAGTTGGGACCCATTTTACACGTGCGCACGTGCAGGGTGCCGCTCCCAGATCTCGAGAACGGCTGGGCCGATTGTGCTCAAATTTAGCACATGTCGCAGATTAACCGTGCATTTACCCTAAAAAAAACGTTTATAATCATATTTCCTCCTGGATTTTAAACGATGGAAGCGTATCAAATAACTTATATGGCAGAAATACTGACACCTATTGCCCGCTATTGGGCTGAAAATAAGAAATGTACCTATCAAGAAATCAGGATTAAATCAGAGCTCAGTATTCACAAAAAATCAGCTTTCTACATCAAGTGCGTTCCTTGCCACTGTAAAAAAGCGATAGGGTACCGGCGAGGGTACGACAGAGGCAATCATTCCTGATTTAGACAAATCTATCCGTGGTTGTCGCCCGTCGTTTTTTTTTTTTTTGCCAACGTAACCACAGCACGGCTGCACCTGCACCGTTGATTGATGGGACGTGGCAGTACTGTCAAACACCTTTATCCAATAATTTCATCACGGTATCGGTTGTCGTAATAAAGCATCAGATATAAGCTCCGCCAGCGCAGTCATTAACGCGCGCACCGACGGGGGTCGGTGTGCGGGTTAATAACTATCCGTAGTAAGCTATTTTCGAAGATATCGGGCTAAAACTTCCTGGAGTAATTCATCGGTATATGTTCTATCATATATTTTCCGTTTTTTTTCGAACAAAATTAAACTTTATAGGGGGAAAATAAAAACATAACTTTTGAGTTTTATGTGATTAAGTATACCTAACTTCCAAAATTTCCAAATTTCAAATCCGAGATAGCAGTTTTGTAGCTCTGTGTATTTTGAGTCCTCTCGTGCAAAGTAATTGGATCTAGCTTAAAAACTGAGCTGTTGGGAGCGATGGGGAGCGATTGCCGTAGTTCAATATTTTGCATCAAAATCGACCGAACATGATGTCCTTATGACGTCATTTCCAGTCGACCTATGGTAGCTACGAAATTTTATTTTAACACGAGGTGTCAAATTGATGCAGCCGAAGGTACTTTAATTTTCGTGTTGATACATACAGCGGTTTAGAAGAAATCGCAGAAAAACGAGAGGGGCTATGAATAGCCCCCTCCAGAAAAGGGAGGGGGAAAAGTGGAGGGGGGGGGGGCCCTCCAGTGGAGCGCGGGTTAAAGAAGCACCTAAACGGCTTCTTTTATAACCTGCATTCTCTTGCCCCAAGCAAGAACCATATACCTACCCATCGTTAAAATGGGTACCCACTGGGTATAGAACAGTGAAGCTTCTGTCAGACAGCACAGGTGCATTTCGTCGGCTCTGTGCCAATCAATGCAGGACACGTGTGGGCGCCATCTAAAAGACATGTATTGCACACAGTGTTGGCCGCGTTTGTCGGCGGGATGGACAAAGAATAACGGTATTTATCGAGCCGCTGGGGAGGCCGGCGACACAGCCGTGCACTCTGACCCACCGGTGACCCGCCAGGGCCTTGGCCCGCCGCTGTCGTTTCGCCGGTCCCGCGGCACAGGAGCTCACCGAGACACGCCTCTCTTTGTGGCGAGGAAACAACAGATATTAAAACTAAGCTCCGAACAAACAGCTCCACTCCGCCCGCCGGCGGCGCTGGGAAGATGGGTCTCCTCTGGAGGTTGCACGCGCTGCCCGCTCGTGTGACGCTCTAGGTGCGCGGCTGGTACTTGGGGAACTTCCTGCGCGAGCCGCTCGTCTGGCCGGTCCTCTTCTTGCTGACGGCTGAGGAGCCGCGGGATGGGGCCGGCGAGGAGGGGGACGAGCTCAGGCCGGGGCTGCTGCCCGGGATGACGACCACCTTGCCGCCGGTAGTGCTCCGACAGCGCAGCTTGGGGCAGCAGTCGGGGAACGGCTTGGTGCGGCTGACGCTCGTCTGACGACAGCCCGGCTGCTGCTCCAGGATCGGACACCTGTCGGGGACACGCCGCACCGTCAGCTCAGCCGGCGCTATCGCGGACAAAACGGAGCTACAAGCCTCCATTACCAAAAGGTGAACCGAAGGAAGGACCTTTCAGACCTGCGTCATCAGAAGCTTTCTTACTTCACCTCAGGTCCATCTCCACTCACTACATAAACCTCAGCTCATGACAAACCGACTACCACCTGCCAAACATTTTCGGCTGTCCCCACCAATTACCCCGATACTCGGCCACCCCGTGCCAACCCGTTACCACGCGCGCGCCGTCCAGCGCCCCGCCCCGCACACCGTCCAGCGCCCCGCACCCACCCTGTCGCCCTGCTCACCCGTCCTCTGTGATGGTGAGCGCCATCTCGCCGTTCAGGTCCTCCCTCAGCACGCAGGTGGCCAGCTTACAGCCGGTGGTGGTCCACGTTTCGCCCAGCTTGGCCGACTTGCCCGCCTTGTTGTCCTGACATTCTCCGGAGTGACCTGCAACCACGGACAATGGAAATGGCGTGGGTGATAACGGCGACATACACGTAATATATCGGCCGGGTGCCGTACAGATTAGATACCGGTAGCGGAGATGCTTAAAATCATGGATGGATCCTTACATCACAGGTTAGAAAAATCCCCAGCTGCTTGAATTATAATTAATTATTCATGCTGCCGCTGCTGCAGGTGTGAGCACCAGCAGTGGTGGGCGGATTTAGTTTACCGACCTTTGAAGAGACAAATGTCCCGGGGGTTCGGGCAAATCCCATCCGCGTTATCTGCATTCCCGCAAGCAGATATCTTTTTTTAATCGTCCTCAATTAAACGTCACACTCTGCCGTTTTCACGCCAGCAGACGGACAGCCTTATGGCGACAGCCTGTGCACTGTTCACGGCTCATGTATGCATGCAACTCACGCAATATGTCTCATCAGTAGCCACCAGCGGCCTCAGACCCGGGCGCGGGTCCTCTCACCTGCGGTGGCCGGCGCGCTGAAGTACTCCTGGTGCGTGTGCAGCGCGGCCGTTTGGTGCAGGCTGCTCGCAGCCAGCAGCACCACCAGCAGCACGGACGACAGACGCGGGAACATGGTGCACCGGTGTCGGGACGCGGTCTGGGCCCGGCCGCGCCGCCCGCCGCCTAAATACCGGCCGCCGGTCGGCGCGGCGGCGGCGCTGCAGCCTGCCGGCGGTCGCTGCAGCGCGGTACCGCGGTACGAACCCTGAGCTCCCCACCGCAGTCGAGACGACCGGCTGTATCCGGGATCGGGCGGGGGAACCGCGCCCTGGGACAGGGGAACCTTCCCCGCCGGGGCCGGGCAGGGGGGACCGTGCCCCGCAGACACGGGGCCCGCTGGAACAGGGGAGCTGTGCCCCACTGGGATCAGGTAGGGGAACCTTCCCCGCCGGGACCGGGCAGGGGAACCGTGCCCTGCAGGTACGGGGCAGACCAACTGTGCCCCGCTGGGACAGGGGAAATGTGCCCCACTGGGATCAGGTAGGGGAACCTTCCCCGCCGGGACCGGGCGGGGGAACCGTTCCCCGGGCTGGCACAGGGCGGGGCCCCCCCACAGCTCTGAGCTCCCCGCTGCGGGGGAGCACAGAGCTGTGCCAAGCCGGGACCGGGACGGGATGGTTAGTGGATAGTGGCTCAATGCTATCTACATTCGATTTGGACTTATATGTCTACAACACATTTGTAAAAACATATGCAGATCAGGCGTATTTCAATGCGTACCTAAATAAATGAAAAGGTGTTGTTGCCCTTTAGCCCTATTCTGGGCGGGCTCCGAAACGTTCGGAATCGGGCGGGGCTTTCCCCCCTCTCAGATCTTGAAGACCACGAATTAGAGCAACAAACGGTAAACGGCATTTGACAGTTCGTTGTAAACAATAGGTCTTTACCTACAACTTTTATAGATAGTTTCTTTTTGGGCAAGTCAATATTGAGGCCACCAGAGGTTATGAAAATAAAATGTTTGAAACAAGTAGGGTGAATAGGTCAAAAACGCCCCCATTAAGCGCGAAACCTTCTGACACTAAACCCAACACAGATTACTCAAACCTTTGGGCACCATCATGTAGCTCATTCTTTTTGCTACGTTTTGAGACCAAGAAAAGACACCTGCGTGTGGTATTTAACCCCCCAAAAAGGTTTTCGCATACCCTTACAAAAGGGCGTTTTGCCCCACACCCTGGGTAATACGCCCATACCCATGTGCAAAGCGCCCCCACCCCATCCAGCAACAGAACATGATGAACATGGCAGAACTTGAGGTCATTCTGACGTCATTTGTGGTCAACCTATCATAGCCTTTGGAATAAAATTTTGTTGCAATGTGTAAAATGGATGCCCGGAGGAGTCCTGAAAGTTTGGTGACGATATCTGCAGTCGTTCAGGATATATCAGCAAAAAAGGACAGGGAGAGGCCTTTTCGGCACCCACCTACAAGGCGCTACCCTGCACTCTCACCACCGTGCAAAACGCCCCCCTTTCAGAAAACTGGGGGCGTCTTGCCCCATGCAGCGAGTAGGCGTCTTTCCCCATCCGCTCCATTTCCGGTCAACAAAATATTGACAAAAAACGCGCCACTAACGCCGCAGCATAACAAATTCAACAGAATGACAATAAAACGCAGTTTTTAGTGATGTGCACAATAGCAAGTTTTGTGATATAAAGAGGGCATCAAAATATTAGGAATCTTCTGTAAAAACAACAAAAACAACACCCAAAACCAACATCAGCACCTACCCACGCTGTTCCTCAAGACGCAGAACCGGAAATAGAGACCTACGTAAACAAGCAGCTGACTGTTCTGAAAGACAGGATAAAACACATATCCGTCGATAAGAAATACGATTTTTTTAGGGGAGGCGTTTAACCCAGGGGTGCGTTTTCCCCACAGTTACCCTACTTGCATGTTCTTGATAGGTCAACTTTAGAATTTGACCTAGGAAGTTCAGTGTTCACGCTGGATACCAATCAACGCGTCATGACCAGGCATACAGCTTGATACCATTTCCAACTCTTTAGCACCATCACATCGTGATTTATTGGCTAAAAACTATTGATGACTTCACAAGACCTCAGGTGACCCTTCCCGGTGCCCCTGCCAGTAAATGGCACCTGGGTCATTACAGATCAGAATTCAGATAGTCTGTCACAATCCTGAAAGAATTGGGTGGTTACTGGTTTTGACTCGTTTATTCGAAGCAGGGCGTATTCCAATATTTCCCATAGGCTTGTAATGTGAAGATTACGACTCTGACCTGACCTCAGGTCACAGCTATACAAATTATGAGATATATAACTTACACATGCTGGTACTGTTATGAAGACCTGAAGAGAGGACATCGTTCCGTGAAAACCTCTAGCTCTGACGTGATTGCAAACTTTTCTGAGGTGGGGTCAACAAACCCGTTTTTGTTTGTCGGGGGACCTTCTCGCCCCCCCCCCCGCCCGGAATAGTGTTAATTATATAAATGTAAAACAAAATCGGTTAGAAAGGAAGAGTCGTCTCTCAAAGAGCACCGACCGATAAGCTGCAAAACCGCTAGATTATAGGTGTACTCGTATGATATTCTAAGAGGCAAGTCTCGTAGCGGCTTTGTTACCGGACCGAGCACGATTTTTCCGGTGTCAAATTAACAGAGGCGCACTCTGAGGTCACTGGGACACACGTGAACTGTGAACTAGGAGGAATTTTGTTTGTGCTCTAGCGCACATGCATCGGAATCCGCACGTAGCCGCGTCACGGTGCAGAAGCCTTCCGAGACGTCACAATTAAAAAGCCTCCCGATCATCGAATCCAATACTGACACTAATCTCTGGGGATAGATTATAATTAAACTACGATAACGTGTGTGCTGAATTTTTTATATAGCCATTGATAAACATTTCTAGGGAAATCGTTTGCTGGACTGCTAAGTGCGTTACAACTGATAAAAAATTGCATGGTATGTTTTTGAATCAACTGTAAACAATCACACTCATTTGCACACTATCAACGTCATCCCGACAATTAACAAGAGAGCAGCACCATGTAAGCAATGTTGAGTCCACGACATTTGTTCATGGCCGACGACCGTTCACCGTACCTACTAAGCACTACTTATCACATGAAAGCGCGCTTCGCTCATTTGATCGATTGATTTGATGGTTTGGTGAGCGTTGTTCGAAGCATTTGATGTTGCTTGATTTTAATTCAAAAGCCGCGTAAAGAAAAGCAGAGAGGTTTATGTAACAACTTTTGCATGAACATTAATCATAAAATGCAATCTTTAGATGACGATCGAGAGCAGTGCTTCCTTAATGATTCAGAATTGCATGTAGGTAGACATGTGGGTAGACAGACGAAATCCTCCCCAAGACATAAAGATGGCCCTTTTAATAGGTGCACACAGCGCAAACGGTTTTATCCTCCAATAGGTGAGGTGCTGGAACTTAGCGCTGCAATGTTGCTAGGGTCATTAGGTACCTAATTCTTGGATAGGAGCTCGCCAAAACGTTACACACTACATAATCATGCCTTCTGATAGGCTTTGAATCCTACTGTTCATGCCTCCTGATAGGCTTTGCACCCTGCTCACGGGCCTTTACAGCCACCCCCGGGCCGGCATTGCCTCGGCTCACGGGCAGCTATAGTGACGTTGCGTGCCCACGATACGAGCAGCGAAACGACACCCGGCCGCCGAGTGACGGAAATACCGCGCAGAATTAGCCGTCTGATCTCGATAAATATTCCCCCACATAACTGCATCCGCAATGCAGCTTCTGCTGATTCGGAGCGCACGCTTCCTGCTCCGTGGTGCTTTGGACCTAGATTCAGTACTTTTCTCTAAAATCAGAAACATCGTTTGAGAGCTAGAAATAGAGCGTACAACACTGCAATAACTCCTTTATCCTCAGTCATATCAGGATCTGTTGGGCTTATCCTGAATCACGGACGCAGTCTCCCTGATCTCGTCTGTCTGATCTCACGCCGGCCGGGTCGGCCCCGGCCGGAGAGTAGCGGTCCCCGAGTCACTGAGGTCAGTTCTGTCAAACTCCCTCTCTCAGCAGACAGCGGCAACAGAGGTGCGCTCAGGTCAGATATGACCAAGATTGTGCTCAGTGCCAGCAGTGGCAGCCGGGAGGATAAGCATGCACTCCGTCTCCAAATTACACCGTCAAAATTATTTCCGTATAAATAAATATAGCTGGGTCTTTACCGTTGCACAATAAGTGAATTATTTAATGATACAAACACAAAACAGCAAATATCACTTATGTCTGTTTAATCAATGAGAAAGAAAGAGTCCAGAAGACCTACAGCGCTTAAAGCCTACATAAAGCCGTATATCCGGCTCATTTCATCAACCGCATCGCTAGCTTTTATTAAAGGCTTGCTTTGACGTCATTTCTAATGAACAGTGAATTGTGAATAGCAGATAAAGCTGGTTCCCTGCAGACCATAACACACAGAGACTATTACTGAATTAAGTGATGTCAGACGCGAAGCGACCATTGAAAAACGTATACATCTTTTTCAATAGCAAATCTCCCTGGATCAGGTACATATGTAAAAGACGCCTCCTTTCATCTGCCGCGGCCGGCCGCTCGAGGAACGGGGATGTGCAGCGATCTCCGGGTCGGCAGACCGAGGGCGGTAGAGATCAGATGACGTATGCAAAGATACACGGATTTGTCGTGCGTTAGGTGACGGTGGTCGCACAACGCGGAATGCGAGGTCCTGGTAGGCTCCTATTTCTCTCAGGGATGTCGGAGTTACTGGCGATTGTGTATTACATCTGTCAGTATTCATAATTTTCTTATAATGAACAATGAAGGGTAGCTTTTCTAGCTTCTATGATTGTGAGATCACATACCTATGCATACTCCAAAAAACCATTCCAGTTCAAACTCCAAAAACAGTTCAAAAAACCTCAGACAAAGCAGAGTAATCAGCAAAGCTTAGAGCTCACCATGAACTCTGGTAATGGTACCTATAGGTACACAGAGGTTCACATACGGCTCACCGAATAAAAACATACACGAATCAGGCCGGGTAAAAATATTAGCAGTTCCATGATCATCCTCTCAAGCTAAATTGCTTCAAATCTTCATTTTTGAGGGGATAAATTTTGAGCTTATAGCAAAAGGCGCGATGCGCAATAGGAGACGAGTGACTAAAAACCAAATAAAAAGATGCGAGATTATTTGCAGCAGTATTGCAAGGGCTACTATTATTTCAACACTTATCACGCAGTAGATCCCTAAAATAGCGTGCCAATCAATGACACCTGTCACCACTGAGCAGCTATATATTACGGAAAGAAGATGAGCCACTCGCTGGTGAAACTATTATATACCTAATGGATCAATAAGTCACAGCCAGAATGAAGCTGGACCTTCTGCATCATAAAGGCTTGGCTAGTTGCCTATATAACTTAGCATAAAATAAGACACATTAGGCACTTGCATCACATGTCTAATGAGTAATGACAGTCTATGAGCGATATCGTATTCCTGCAGGGTACGGGCGGGCGGGCGATGCGGGCGGTTTTCATTTTTTTTTTTGTGCGTCGTTTGCGGTATTGTTTGCGGCTTACGGCGGTCGGGCGATTGTTTTTGTTTTGTTTTTGCGATGTTTGCGTTGGCGTTTTGAGCGTGCATTTTGCGCGTTTTGCAGCTGTTTGCGTTTGGCGGCGGGCGGGCGTTTTTTTTCCCAATAGTTCAAAGTTCCAACCTTCGGATCCGCAGTGCTGTTCGAAAAGCGCTGCCCGGGCCTATCGTATTCCCAGGCTATCATCTCGATTCCTAATATTCATATTTCTTTATTTTATTGAGCATATCGTCTACAGAGATAACCAACAGACTGAGCACCATAGCGCTCCATGGAACCATAACCAGCTCATAGGCATAGAGTAATTACTGAAAATGGATATTTACCCAAGTTGCAACAGTAATGCATTATAA